AGGCTGCACCTTTCCAACCACCTGCAGGGGAGTTTGGGAGCTCTGCTCACTTGGCAGGACCTGACCTGCACATGTTCCTGGCAGGACTGGGCTGAGCCCTAGAGGTGAGCTGGGGTGCTGGCCCAGAAGCCATGAGAAGCCTCACTGGGCACATTTGTGGTATGAAGTGAAAAAGAGCACTAGGAATTTATCCTTCATCTGGCTTCCTGACTCATCCCTGGGAGACTGAGATTTCCCTTTCAGCAGGGACTGAACAGCTGGGAGACACACAGGTTGCCAGGTCCCTAGTCCCAGGTTCATCTCCTCCTCCCCAGAGGGGCTCAGGTAGCAGGTGGGAGTTTAAGGTGTTAGGAGATCTTAGGAGATCTCCTAAGAAGCTCATCAGGCATCCCACTGCCCATCATGGCACAAACCAGGGCAGAAGACCACGTTGTAGGGAGTGAGTCTGTGTGAAGGCCAGCAGAGCTCAGGACACCCTGCCCAGCGTGTGCCCTGTTCCGTGGCACAGGGAGCTGGGGGTCTGCGAGCAGACCAAGAGACCATGGGAGGTGAGAAGGTCTCTTTCCTGCCTGTTCCTTGTGGCATCTCCTCCCAGAGTCAAGGCTGGTGCCAGCTGTGTGCTAGCACATGGGCAGGAAGGGCTGGGGGCCGAAGGACTGACAAATGGGGCAGTGGTGGTGCCACCAGCAGTTCCACATCTAGGGGACATGTGCCCACAGCTGTTCTGGGGGATGGACTGGGTAATCCCTCCTGCTTCCCAAAAAGCCATGGAAGGGCTGCTCCTGCAGCCAGGGATCCTTGTGTCCCAGCACTGGACAGGGTCACCACAGCCCACGGAGGCACACAGGCTGTGCCACCAGCAGGGCTCAAGGGTGCATGTCCTGGTTCCAAACAGGATCCTTCATTCCCTGATACACTTCCTGGGGCTTCTCCCTCCTTGATCACCTTTCCCAGGTGTTTTGCTATTGCCCAGATGTTGATGCTCCAGGAGCTTCTTTAGGATCGTGAATGTTTAGCCCTTAGTAGAGCCATGGATTTTTAAAATCAAAAGGTCATTTCTAGGTCACTGAATAATTACTATTGCTGTCCCCGCTGTCACTAATTCTATCACAGAGAAGCAGCAGCTTGCTGAGAAATCCTCAAGCTGCAGGCTGAAAATGAAGGGAAATTCACCACAGAAAATGCAAGGTTAGGAGCACTTCGTGCCACGGGCTATTGGAAGGAGAAGCAGGACCAGGGCACATCAAAGCTGGGCACAGGGATTCCCTTCATCCCTGCTGCTCCCCACGTGGGACTGAGCTCATCCTGCACACCCTGTTGTTTCAGAGTGCTCAGCACAGTGAGGAGGTGCCTGCAGCCCCTTCGTGCTGTGCCTCCACCACAGCTCTGGGCTGGGGGGTTTTGGGGGCACATTCCTGTCTTGCAGCCTCTGGTCAAAGCACTGTGTTGGGCACAAAGTCTGTGGGGACCTCAGTGTCTGCTGTGAGCCAGGGCAAACCCTCACAGGTCAGGGGGAACCACCAACTGGAGGGAAAGCTGTTGCTGTTCATGGAATCATGGAATGGTTTGTGTTTGGAAGGGACCTTAAACTCATCTTGCTCCTCCTTCCTGCCATGGGCAGGGACATCTTCCTCTAGACCAGGCTGCTCCAGGCCCATCCAACCTGGCCTGGAACACTCCTAGGTATGGGGCAGCCACAACTGCTCTATTGCTGCTAGAGTTTTGTGGATTTTTTTTTTTTTTTGAGGAGCAACAGGATCTTTCAGCTGCATTGGATTGTCTTGGGATAGATTCCCTGATTGGCAAAGTGAGGGGGAGCATCACCAGCTGGTGAGGGCAAGTCTGACTTCCCTCAGGGACCCTCTAAGAGCAGGAATTGCTCACTCTGGGGTGGAGCAGCTCCTCCTGTTCTTGTGGGAGCTCAGCACTACACTGGGCCATTGACTGCCCTTGTGATGGCCAGGATGTCATTCCAGCCCTCAGCCAGTGCAGCATGCAGTGTGGCAAGGTGCATTTCCATGACCATTCCTGGGAGATGCTCTGCAGGTTCAACCCAAGACCAAGATGAACGGCCTCAGCTGGGAATCCTTGCGGGCTGTGAGCTGTGCTGGATGTTACAGGCATTGTTACTGTCTCACATGGCAGGGAGAGGCACTTTGGGCATCTCCTGCTTCCAGTTTTAGTACAGTTCAGTCCTTCTGGTCAGTCCTGGCAATGTTTGCTCTGGCTGTGATGGATGCAGGCTGGCTCAGGGAGACACTTCTGGGAGGGTCAGGGTGGCAATGTCTGTTGTAGGGTCAGTAGGGCTGAGCTGGGTTCTGCTGCTCAAAACCAGTCTCCTCCTCTTTCCCGCTGTGTTTGTGGCTCTCCCAGGGCATCCTTGTCAGCTCAAGCGCTTCCAGGCATCCCTTGGCACCGAGCTTTGGAGACATTTCCCCACCAGTCCCTGCCTGGGGACAGGCAGCTGGCCCCGTCTGTGCCCCAGCTTGCCCAGGGGGTGCAGAGCAACGGCTCCCCAAGAGTCATGCTGCCTTCCTCCTTGCCTGGCAGCAGAAATCACCCTCTGTCCTTGCCTTGGCTTTTGATTCCCAGTCCAACTTGAATATTGGGGATGTTATAAAATTCCCCACTTTCAGCATCTCCGTGTTTTAGACTTGGAGAAACAAATCCAGGACGAGATATTCAAGTATTCCTTTCACAGTTCCCATGCTCTGCTGGGTTGAAAGGGAAGCTCTTAGAAGATGGATCAAGTTCATGTCTATGCCTCTTGATTGCAAATATGCATTCCTGGAAATCCAGAGCAGTCTCTCTTCCCAACACCTGCATGGCAGGACTGGGAAGGATTGGGCAGCTACCAGTTGGCTTTTGAGTCACTTCTCCATGTCAGCAGAAGAGGTGGAAGCAGGAAAAATATCTTCTCTGTTTCCCTAGGTCAGGAATGCCACCCTGGGGCATTTCTTTTTATCTTGAATAACCTACTTCAGCCAATTCCCAGAAAAATCACAGGTTCTCTGCAATGCCAACCAAACCAGCATGGAAGGAATTGCTTTGGTTGGGAGCCATCCTGTGAGGCAAGGCCAGCTCAAGATGCTCCATATCTGAGTCACTGGAGCATTGCCCTGTCCACTGAAAACAAATTTGAGCAATTACTAACCCCAAAACTTTGCGACCAGAGTTTTTGTCTGACATATCAGTTTAGTTTTTGCTTTAAGCATAAAATTGAGCAGTGGAGACATGGGAGGCAGCAGGATCAATGCTCAGTGTTTTTCCCGTGTGCTATAGAGAGTGTGTTGGGTTTGGAGTGGGAAATTAAGCTAAAGAGGAAGTGTTTCCTTCCAAAATAAGGGCCTTTCATGGCTTGGCAAGGTGTAGAGCAGCTGTTTCCTGCTTCTTCTCAAGCAGTCACCATTGGCCGGTGGGTATCAGCTTGGAGAAGCATCTGGCCCAGGTAAGTTTCCTGATGTTACTCAGACAAATGGAACCATTTCTTCAGTGCTCTATTCCCCCCAAACCAGAAAGCAAATTTCTAGGAATATACTGCTCATAATAACCATGGGCTAGCTCACAAAGGAGATAGAGCTGTGTGTAAATATGCTATGCAGAGGAGTAAGAGAGAGCAGAATAATTTCTGGTGGAAACAGTGTGGTCTGATGGGTGAGCTGCTGCAGTGAAAAGCCCAGGGAGAGCTGGGGTGGTGCTGCAGGGCCCGGGGATGGATATCTCAAACCTTTCCAAAGCAGCAAGGGAAAGAGAGGGGAGGGAAGGGGCAGGGGAAGGCTGGGGGACACACTGTCCGTGTACACGGAGCAGGGTCTGGGCTCGCCCCTCCCCAGCCAGCAGAGCGAGTGTGGGGTGGGCCGGGAATCCTGCCCTGAACATGAAGCGTGAAATCCATGTCCAACAAGAATTTCAGCCGGTGCATAATGTAAGCGCTGGATGGGTTTGTAGCCAGGGCTCTGGCGCTGAGAGCGCTGAATTAAACATGGGGTGACTCAGCGCTCGTCCGCGCCAGGCTGGGAGCGGGAGTGCGGGGACAGGTGCATTATTGATAGCTTCATTTCCCAGGGTTGAGAAAAGCAGCGTCTGCGGCGCTTGGAGGGGGACACGGTGTGGCCACACTCGGCATTTGCAACGCCTGCCTGCTCTTGTGCTGCTCCTGGCACAGGGATTGCCGCATCCAGCCTCTCCCTGCTGCCGCTCTCCACCTGCAGCCCCCGCACCCCGGGCGGGAGCCCCAGGGCAGGGCAGCGCCGGCCCCATCCTCCAGCCCGGGCTCCAGCGAGCTCCCCCGCGGCAGAGAGCAGCCCTTGGGGCTTGGAAGGGGTGAGAGCCCCTGAATTTGGCTTTGCTGATGATCCAAAACCTTCATCTGCTTCTGGTGACTGCCCACGGACCCGGGGCCCCTGAGCAGGGGACGGGGCCGGGAGCACAGGGTGTTCCAGCAGCCTTGGAACGGCAGGAAGCAGGACCAAGCCTTGCTGGAACTGAGTGTGATAACTCATTACCTCACAGGAGGATGTCCTCCTTCTATCCCAAAGCTTTATGCTGTAAAACCCCCATGCTGTATCTCCAGGCCCCAGTCCGGTGAGCAGCAGCGAGTGCTGCAGGGCTTTGGGCTCAGAGCATCCTGCTGGTTGGGATGTGAAGGGAAAGCCTCATGGGAGAGGTTGGAAAACGTGAGCTAGCACTCCTGTCAGGCCTTGCAGGGAGAGGCGGGGTTTGCCTCTTCCTCAGAACCTAATTTGAACCACAAGGATGCAGTAAAAAAAAAAAAAAAAAAAAAAAAAAAAAAAAAAAAAAAAAAAACCAAACAAAAAAACCCAACAACAACAACAACAAAAAACCAAACCAAACCAAAACAAAAAATAAACAAACCAAAAAAACCACAAAAAAAAAAAAAAAACCAAACCTGCTTTGGAAGATTTTAAAGAACAGCACGAACTAAAAAAGCAGCTGCCAAACCGAATTTCCATTATTAAAAATCAGCACTGATAAGAGGCATCTTAGATCAAATAATTTATTTAGTAATTCCATGTAAACACTTCAGATTTACTAGCAAATACAATGCTTGCTGTTCTTTTAAATAGATCATTCAAAAAATAAGAATCTATTATTAATGGCAGGTTGACTAGAGATCTCCATACTACTGTACAATAAGGAATTGGTTTTCTAATGGATTTAACATCTCAATTTTTCTTGTTCTGCATTTGCTTTACACAAAGCCCAAAGGACACAGGTTTGAACTGCTCCCTGACGATGCCACTGCGGCCCGGGGTGTTTTGGGAAGGTACGCAGGCAACTCCTCCCATCCTGGCATTGGTGTGAGCTGATGTGAGGGTGGGATGGCAGAGCTGGCGTGAACACTGTTCACAAACACATGCCTTTTCGGTCAGAAAACAGACAGGGAACGGTGGAGAACTTCTCTTTGGGATGTATAAAAGCAACGAACTCCATCGTTGGCATTTACTTATCAACACAGCAGTACACATACACGTATCCACAGTCTGGAAAAGCATCCTATGAGCTGGAGAAAGCAGTGGTTCTGAGGCTTGGTACACCAGTGCACTAAAACCAAAAGAATGATACCTTCTTACATAGTCAAATGAAAAATAAATATCTTTATTTTCTGCCTACTTTATTTCAGTTTTCAAATAAATTTTAAATAAATCTGTACAAAGTATACTGTTACAGTATATATTTGTAAGTGAACTGAAATGCCTAAGTGTAACAACACTACAAGAAAGCAGTAAAGATTGGCACATCTCTAATCAAGATTAACTTTTACACTCAAAAAATACCAACGCCTGTGAAAACCCTCAAGATATTTTTGGTATTTTTTATGCAAGTTGTAATGACAGACCAATTCTCCCCTGCCTTGAAAAGAAAATCACTTCTCATGGTTTTCAGAGAACATGAACATCTTTATGATGCTAAAGGGACACCATCAGGTGAAAAGAGAGAGAGAGATTTCAATTTTTCAAAAGCAAACGCTTTGGTCAGAAATCATCAGGTTTGAGACTTTGTGCACTTTTTCCGTCCCCCGAGCTGCGGCGGGGCCGGGCCGGGGCGGGCGGGGCAGCGGCGCTGCCGGACCCCGGAGCCCCGGAGCGCCGCCCCTGCCCGGCCGCGGGGATGGAGCGCTCTGGCCAGGGACCAAAACATCGGGGGAGGAGCTGCTCCCCTTGCCATCCAAACGGAATTCACACCAGTGCCACAGGGCTGTATTTTGTGGTTTCTTTTTCCCCCCAGCAAAAGCAAGAAACTAAAATTGATCTGACAGTGTCCCTTTGCTCAAAATAAAGACTTCTGTGCTAGAGAGGTCAGGTACTGAAATGAACTTTTTCACAGGGTCAAAGAGCCAGGTACATCTCAAAATTCAAGTTTTCAAATCCAACTGCAGTTATTAGATTAATGAGCTCTCAAAACCTCCTAATATTTCGTTAAATAATTCCCAACTGGGAACTGGGGATAAATAGTACAGATTAAGAGCGAGAGTTTTCTCTCTTAATCTTTCCAAAGATATATTCACTCAAAGTTTACATGCTGAAAGTTAATCTTACATTAGAATGTAATTGGCTGCAACATAAACCTATAAATGAATCAACTACCATAGATTAAACTCTGTTAAATATTTCTAAGTTAATAAAATATTGACAGTATTATAAAATTACAGTATATACAATAAGAAAAATCTAGACTAATATATACCTTTAACAGATCTCTTCTCCAATTTGGGATTGCAACGGAATTATGAATATATGAACAATTTATTAGAAAGTTGCATTGCAATTATCAGGTTTTCCATTAGCGCTAGAGAGGGTGAGCTATCACTGCCTTTGGAAAAAACAAAAAGTGACTTCTGGTGGTGGGGTGTAGCTTTTGAGTACCAAACTGGTAACAGGAGTCCTCCGCAAGACGTCTGAAGATAAGGTAGGACCAGCCTCAACTGCTCAGATTAAGGTTGTATTACAGAACTGCCAGCAATCAGAACCACCCAGGCTGCAAAAGGGGAGGAAAGGTAGTTTTCAGCTCAAAGTGCACAGCTGGAAGGGCTCCCCTCATTCTGGACTCCAACTAAGGCTGCAGGAGCTCTGATCAGGAACAGCAAAACCCTCAGCTCGGGGTCGTGAGGAGGAAACGAGCCACGGTGCTCCTTAAAGGGACATGGTTGGGCTGCAGCTATGCCAAAACACTGTTGTCAACCATGTAGGACAAAACCAGACTGGGCATTTGAGATCCTCTTGGACTTGCTTTTTTAGGAGGTTTTTTGGGGGGAGGGTCAGGGAATGGCTTTAGTTTGGGGTGGTTTTTTTTTTTTTTGCATTTTGTTTGCTTGGGAGAAAAAATTTGGCCAGGACTGTGCAGTAAACTCATTTTCTATCCCTCATCAGGTTCTTTGTTTCTGGGGTATTACCAAAATGTGCAGTGTTTGGGTGGCAAATACTTGTGGGGAAAAGGAGGTTTCAGCATTCCCACTTCAATTTGTCTTGGGATAAACCAAAAGCAATTTGAGTCCTTAAAAATCGCCAGCTGCTTTTGGGGTCTCAGACACCCAGTGATGTCCTTTTAAGGATCAGATCTTTCACTTGCCCTTTTTCCCAGCCTCGGAGGAGGAGTTTACAACGAGTTTAGGAAGGGCCATGTTCACATTCTTTCCCTCCTCCCCATGTCACATTTGCTTTCTAGGAAAAAAGGGGGAGAAAAGTAAGTTTCAAACTCCTTTCCCACCCTTCCCTCCCCCGGTCCTGCTCACAGTAAACCAGAAACGGCAGTTTTTAGTGTATATTTCGGGATAAATTATTTTCTCAGTCCCAAGCCTGAAGATGCTAGTGAGAGACCTACCCGCAGGCTTTGGAGAGGAGGAGCAATTTAGGGGTTTCTACCAGTTCCCGTGGTGGGCAGGTGGGAAGACCTCAGTCCTTAAAAGCAGGATTTAAAATGGTAAAAGAATAATTTGTAAACTCAGATCTACATTACCAATAGAAGGCTCTAGGTCCTGTGGGCTCCAGTTCCCAGAGATGCAGAGCAGGAAAACTAGAAAGAGAACTTGGTACCTTTCAACCACCTGCTGGGTTGTACTGGGGGGGAGTGGGGAATGAGAGAGACAAAATGCCAACTGACCTTATAAACAAAGGTATGTTTAGGGCTTCTGGTTTCAGGAATAAACCGATATTTACTGGTAAAAGTCTGCCAAAAAACAAAAACAGAAACACAGGATTACTGGTAAATATTGGTTTATATGGAGATTAAAAAAAAAAAAAAAAAAGAAAAAAAAGAGATGTCATTGTGCTCCCAGGTGGGAGCTGAGAACCGACCCATGGCATCCCTGCACCCGGCAGTGTCTCGGGCACCTGCACACCTCAAACCAGAAGCCTTGTGTTGAGAGGAAAGTCGTGTTTGTTTCCTTTACTCCCCTTAAACTACGTGTTTCTGGATTCCCCCCTCCCTCCTCTGCAAGGCTGGTCCTACGGGGATTTGGCTCAGGAGATGGGAAGTCTGCTTCCAAAAGCACTTGGAAGTGAATTTGTACATAATATGGTATCTCAGCACAAGGCTGCTGGGGCCTGAGCCTCGGCTGCTCCCTGAGATACCATAAAATATACAAGACTGAGTGTATATTTTAAATAAAGCATTTTCTTGTAAGTGGCATAAACCCATTCATTTTATTTACATGCTTTTTTTATTTCCAAAAATAGAGTTGGTCCACATTGGACAAGAGAAATCAAGAAGCCATACAGTAGAAGAGTTAAAAGTCCAACATTTAACCAAAGTACAATGAAATTCCAGAAGGCTGTGGCTGACTTGAACCACAGAAACATACACATGAGCCACACAGACATTTGTACATAGAGCATTATATTACCAATAATATTTGCAAACATGAGGTCAAGATGGCTAAAAACCCAGCAGGACTGACCCGGGCGTCCTGGCTGAACAGAAGTGGGTGCTGAGGGGCCATCACTGCTGTGGGGAAACACAACTCTACAGAGATTTTGCTTCACTTTTGGTTTTTTCTTTAACTGAGAAAGTCCTAATTTTTCTGCCCTGGGGATCCAAATTGAGGACAGGGTGAAAGCCAACCCCACGGAGCTCCCTAAATGCCAGGGTGCCGGGGGCTCAGACCTGCGGGACAGTGCGGGTGCCACACGGCACCGGAACCCCACTGGAGGGCAAAACACTGCCCTCTGCTACTTGGCCTTAAAGATCACCTGGAAAAGAAAAAGTTGGGATTTATACCCTTGTGGTGTGCTAAAAAAAGTCTGGATGGGGTTTGCCTTGAAAACAAGGATTTCCCTCCCTTGCCATGGGCAATTTTTGGCATTAGTTATTCCAGTCCTGTCTACCTTTCTTGGAAGATCACAAATATCCTAGAGGATGTTGCACTGACAGGTGAGGGAATAACTTTTTTACATTAAAAAAAACCAAACAAAAACTTGGAGGATGGACAGCAGAAGAAAAAAAAACCAAACAACCAACCAAATGGAAGAGATGCTTTATCTCTGTGTGAGGGCCCAGCTCTCTGGGTATCTCCATGGACCTCACCTTGATAATATCTCAGTGTCTCCAAAGGATGGAAAAACAGACTTAAATCTGTATGTTCTGCTGCAGAGAATCAGCAAGTAAAAGGGGGAAGACAATTGTAGCACTTCTGGTACTTCTACAAACCACCCACTACATGGAGTAGAACCACACGAAAAGGGTATAAACTAATTTTTCTTTTTCAAGTCATCTTAGACACTGACGCTATTAAGCCTAGTTCAATGTGAATGCTAGTACAGAGCTAATGTACAGAATGCCAGCGATAATTATCAGTACCTAACAGGATTTAAAGGCGAGTATACTCAGTACATTTATTAAAAAACACTAGGACCAGAACCAGAGCTCTGACAGCAGTTACACAAAGCAGCCGTGCAGGTCTCTACGAGGACAGAGCCTTTAGCACAAGTCGCTGTGATCATCTGAGCCTGGGACAGACAACTCCATCTCCTAATTTGTTTCCTAGAACATCTCTAATCGCAGATGTGAAATATGAAAACAGAGATGGGCCTGATCCTGTGCAGTTGGGTACGTACAACACACCCCAGTGAAACTCAAAGCCCAAATTCCTAAAGAGAGAGCACAAGAAATTGTTGTCTTACATCAAATAACTATCATGCAAGCATACCACGACGGTTTTATATTGAGTAACTTCAAAGTCAGCTGGTATAATTTAACTAGAAGTGAGCAATCTAATGGATTTCTTGGGGTAGGGACAAAGGTTGTGCTAGTGACAACCACCTGATATCCAGGAAGAGCAGCACAGGGACACTGTGGGGGTCTAACGAGCTGTGGTACAGAGGAGCTCCTGCTCAGCAGCCTCACAGACCTGCACCTACACCTGGAATGTGCAGGATTCCTGTGGCAGGCTACATGCCTTCTCTTCATTTGCTCTGCTACCACAATCAGAGTTCTTTCTCCTGATTGAACAATTCACTTGCAGCCTGGCTGACAGAGCATTAAAAATTACTCTTTTTTCCCCCCCTGTTGCCTGTTGCCTCACATGTCCCAAGGTCAGCCCCATGCTCACTGCACCAAACCTTATGCTCTTCTCAATTTTCCAGCCACAGCCAGGCTGGGGTCACTTCTCCAGTACAGCCCAACCACTCTCCTCCTCGTCTTTAAACATAAACTCTGATTGAAACCTCAAGGTGCCTGCAGTTATCCTGTTTCTATTGCAAACTCCAAGGACATATCAAAGCACTCACTCTTTGGTACCATCATCTACTGGAGACAGGGGAGGTGGGGGAAGCCAGGGTATTTGCCATAATTCCTGGACTTTTAAGAAGCCTAAAACTAAGCCAGAGCAGCAAAAGGGTGCTCTGGCTGACACCAGTTACCTGTGGGTTCTCCTGGGTCTCTTGGGAAGAGAGGTAACACAAGTCTGCATGTGCACACATCAACAATGTCCCCTCAAGGACAGACCTAGGCAAGAGCTGAAAGATGCTGCCCAGACCTCTGTTCCTACTCCTTCCCTTTCTGTCCATTATAAAAGTCAAGACCTCTGAGTTTTTCCTTAGTAAGAAGAAAACAAAACATAGCCACAATATCAGCTGCTGAGGCACACTCTGGGATCTGGCAGACCTGCAAGTCCAGCTCAAGGCAGGAGTTTGAACTGGGGGTGTTGCTTTACAGGAGAAATCTAGATTTCTCTAGATTGCCCGGTATTCTGGGCTTGTTTCTCCCCTCAAACCTGGACCTGGTGGTATCCACCACAAAAGTTTAATGAAAATCAACCTTTCTTCACCCAGCAACTTTGGGTTTAATGAAACCATTGAATGGAACTCATTTGCTCAAAGGCTGAAGATGCAGACTTGGAAGCCTTTAATCTCCTTCTCTAACTAGACTTTAGTCTACCTTTTGCTTCCCAAGTGACAAATAGCAACTGCAACCAAAGAAGGACTCTGCAGTATTTCTCTTCTCATTACAAGCCTATTTTTTATCCTGTTGTTTGACAATGTGTTCAGACATTCTCGTAGGTGCCCCAGCAAATCATAGAATCAAATCAGTTTGATTCTATGATCAGTCTGCCCAGACTGATCATAGAATCAAACAATGGATTGGGTTGGAAGGGATCACCTGGTCCAACCCCTTTTCTCTGCAGAAAGTATGTTGCTTTCTAACTCTCACACACGGAAGAACTGCAGTACTTCAGCTTCACCTTCTCAAACTGGAGTTCAGGATTTTTGCTGATCTGCAATTCCCAGTGCCCTGATTAATACTTTAATTTAAAAAAAAAACAAGAATAACCTGACATTAGGACATTATCTAGTCATGGAGAATACTAAGCTGTTTTTTGACAGCCCTGTTTTTGTTAGTACCTTTAAGTGTTTCAGTCCCAAGCTTTTTTAAAACCCCTTGATACACCTGTTGCTCCTCCACTTGAATTTCCTACTTTGCTCCATCATCTCTGCTTCACTTGAGTTTTAGAGGAAGGCTCCTTTTTCCACTCAAAAGGAACAGCAGTCTCTCAAACGTGCCCTGTGCTCCAGAATGACATGGAGGAGTCACTTTAATGGCATGAAGTAGTGCAGGAAATGAATTCTGCCTTCAGTCCTGCACAGCCAGATTTTCTCCCCAGCCGCGTCTCTGATGTCCCTCGGACAGCACTGGCTCCCCAAAGCCCCCCAGCTCTGCAAAGCCCCTCCTAAACTGCTTCATTTCCCAACCACGGTTACCTGCCCTTCCATATGGCTCTTCCAGTCTACTCCTCAGAGCTGGACTTCTGTCCTTGGGTGGAATCTTCCTGAACTCCAGAAGTCCCCTCCTTTATAACTACTTTTAATAACAGTTTTAGGGTTGTTCGTTCTTTCATGACAGAGTTCTGCCTCACCTGGATGCCAGTAACCTCCCAGGTATCTATGGTAAGTCTAAGACTTCATTTTTCTGATCTTCTCCCATGCAATATTTTGGAACGAAAGACTCACTTTTAGTCCAGCACCTTCTACCCCTGAGAGTGCTGAACCTGCAATTCAGTGACCCCCATGTGGTCACTGCTACTTAACAACTCAACAGTAATTGTATTTTGAATCACGTCTTATGCTTTAGTCCTAAACAAAAGCTAAGTCTACATCAGGCTGTTACAAGAAATGATCCTTTAAGTAAATCAATATGTTTGCTCACCAAAATGTTAGCCAGTTCTCTCCCAAACAATCTAGCCAGGTAGCATGGTCGTAATAGAACTCACTTTTTCTAACAGGTTTATGAAGATGCATGAGCCTGTTTTTTTCCCAGGGCTCGTGAAATCCTCAACTTTCCTTTTGTCTGGAATAGAAAACTTCCTAATACCTCTATGCCATTAAAATACAGAATTTATATCCAACATAAACGTGGCTGTTCGGTTGTCAGTACTCCAATTTCCTCAGATTTTACAGCAACCTTTTAGATGTAGTGTTCCTCCTTTATGACCTAACACACCTGCTACAATGGCAGGTAATGCAGTATCTTATTGATTTCCATCACCCCCACCATGTTTCAATCAGAGCAGCTGTGACAAGGTCTTTTTTCCACTGAGCAGTCTACAACAACTATTTTTGTCTCCTGTTTCCACCCTATTGTGCAGATGTGCCCATTCCTTACTCCAGCCCAGTCCCTCCCGTGCACACAACTCTGCTCCCAACCTCCAGCCCCAACAGCCTCAGCCTCCCACC